TCACAAACAAACAAACAAACAAAAAGGAACTTCAGATCTGACTTAAAAAATTTCCAGAAGAGTACAAAACCCATTTATTTGGGTGATCCTTTACATTTTTCTTAGCAAGTGCTCCAAAACAAGGACAGAACTCCAGTGGAAAAGATATTAATAGAAAATGCCACAGAAAGGTAGAAGGAAAATAATTATCTAACATTAGTAAAGTGCTGTGAATCTTGCAGTAAAATATAAATAATACGTAAATGATTAGAATAGTAAATAATATTAAGACATTCATTTCTAATAGAGACAAATATAAAATAAACACACTATAGAATATAAATACAGTAATCATTGCCCACAGGTTAACAAATACACCAAGAATAAACAGGATTCCCTTTTATTAATTTTATAATATAATTGCTAAACTAATTGTTTTCCGTTGTCAATTTAGAGGTCTAAAGCCATAACACCTGCTCAGAAGTCTCCCTCATACGTTAAAGCCTCAGCATGCTTTGGAGTTTTCTTTTTCCCACTTTGAGATTGCTCTTCTCGTGATATTTAATTCTTCCTTTAAGCTCCGAGTAGATATAATTCAGGATATTTGAGAGAACCATGGACCTAAAATTTTGAGGCTACAGATATCTTATCTGATGATTTCATCTTCAGACCCTAAGCATCTAATTCAGAGCCTGGTGGTAATATACAGGTACATAAAGGCTCTCCTTGAATATATCAAGAAAAATGTCTACTCTTGTGTTCATTTTAAACAAAATTTTCTCTGGGGTTACTATGTAGAATTAAGGGGCACATAAAATGGAGGCTAGGGTTTGTAAACTATAGAAAGTGGCAGATCTAGATAACTGTTGGGAAGTCGATAGTGATTTTCAGCCACCACAGATGTCTTCCTATCTCATCAAATCACAGTATCCTTAATGGCCTTAAATCACTATCTGAGATTTAGTAATGGTTTAACAGTTTCAGAATGAAAATAGATGCTTTCCCCTCCATGGATAAACACATACAGTTAATATTGTGTGCCTAGTTGATGCCTACTAAAGGGAAGGAGAATTAGAAAATAAATTATATTTTTGTCTACTCTTTTTTACTGAATGATCATATGTAATAAAGATAGAAGATTTAAAAAAAAAAATTTTTTTTTTCCCCCAAAGCCCCAGTAGATAGTTGTATGTCGTAGTTGCACATCCTTCTAGTTGCTGTATGTGGGACACGGCCTCAGCATGGCCAGAGAAGCGGTTCCTCCGTGCGCGCCCAGGATCCGAACCCGGGCCGCCAGCAGCCGAGCGAGCGCACTTAACCGCTAAGCGACAGGGCCAGCCAAGACAGAAGATTTTATATACTGTAACTTTAGGAACATTTGTTAATAAGTTTTAATCGTATGAGTACTTCCATTGCCTGGATATTTGTTTATAATTAGGCCATTTCTTATCCCAAAAATCCATTCTACTTGCTAGGAATGGATTTGCCTTAACAGCCTTCTGTCACTTCTCAGATTTCTATGCTCACTTATATACAGCGTACAAACCTAATCTTACAGAATACTAATACAAGAAAGATAATAAAATATTTCTTATATATAAGAAATATAAGAAAACAGAAAAATACTGAAAAGAGACATCAAGTAATTGCTGATACATAATTGTAAGGAAACACTTACAGATCCCCCACAATTGCCAAAACTCATATACTTGCCATAATTAGGTTCAGGTCTCTGGTTTCTCAAATAAACTAATATCCCTTCTCTATCACTTTAAGTGCAATGTGAAGAATCCAAGTATATTCATGTTTCAAGACAACATTAAATATAAATTTTATAAGTTTTTATATTCATAAAGATAATATATGTGAATTGGATTGATAAAAGCCTGTTTAAAAACAAAATAATCACTACATACTTCCCAGGAACATACTCAATGACTTAAAAGAGACGGACGTCATCATATTTGTGCTGTCCTTCATTTTATAAAAAGGAAGCTAAATATTAATACTTCCATAATTTGGGGAAATGGGGACAGGTAGACATTAGCTGTGCCAGTAGCAAATTATTTTGTGTTTTCTAGGCTTCTAAGAAGTGAAAAGTATTTATTGCAAAACTTTAGAACAGTAAAATTATTGTTCTGAAATTGGATAATAAAACATTTTCAAAATTTTCAATAAAAGGAACATACACCAATTATTATTTAAATATGCTTTATAGAAAGTAAAAAAACTGGATGACAGATACATTGAGAATAGCCTTCCTCATATAAAAACTTCATGATATAAAATATTTGAATCATTATAGTTACAAAGAATAAGCTCTGAAACTGCTTTCTAAATGTAATGAAACTGGGCTGTACAACTAGCAAATAAGCTGCCATTCTGACAGCTGCGACTACAGGAAAAGAGATTACTTTTATTGAATGGAAAACCTTTTTAACTCATAAAAAGGGAAAAATAAAAAACATGCTAAAATCCTTCTTGAAGATTCTGATGCCCCATCTTATCTTGCTCAGTACTCCCCTCCATCTACTTCAGGGCATCACACAGGCCCCACTGCTGAGAAGTACAATGCTACAGCAGCTCCACAGCCATTTCCAGGCAGAGTCCCTTCATAATGCGAGGATAAGAAGTCAAAATATTCTTCCATAGTTTAATGAATAGACAGCACAAAGCATTTTGTCTTGATGTTGTTATTTTGCGCTTAGCAAAAGGCAAGATGTCAAGTACTTCCCTCTCACTTTAGGATCAAAGATGGTCTTATCCACGTGGCTGTAAACTAGCTAGGATTACAATAGCTGTGGGTAAATCTCACATGTTCCAACTGGGGATAACTAACATTCCTGGAGTCTGAGATATCACAATTGGAGATGAAATGCAGAGAGTTAAGATAATTTTAAAAATTTAGGTTTTTGTTTCAAGATAATTCTTATACTGGGATAAAGATTTTCAAGTTTTTAACATGGTGTTATCTTTAAAAGATGAATGCTTATCTAAGAGCAAGAGACACAAAAATATTTTGTATCATTAGTTAACAAGAATAAGCAAAACTGCTGTTGAAAAGGAGATGTGAGTCAAGTAGCTCAGAAATAAAATCTCTCTCTTCTTCAACCTAACTCGTCTTTCACTACACAATCACTCACTGCCGATCCATCTGCACAGCGTGGATTTCCATGCCTTTGTGAGAACTAATGAAATATACAGGCTGATGTTTCTGACTGGATAATATTTAGCTTAATTTTGTACAACTGAGCTTTCATTATATAAAAAAAACAACAAAACCTCGACAAAATTACAGATGACAATATTATTCTTATTATAATCTAACCATCCCATTAAGCCAATTTACGAGGCTAGGGTTATCTAATAGAAACAATTCAATCTTGATCAATTTTGGAACATGGGTCTTTTATTTAGGGACTTCTTTTTCTTGGTTATTATCAAGTAATTAGACAAATGATAAAAAGATATAATCGAGTTTTGAAAGTTCTTTTAAGATATACACAACTGCATTATTTATTTTCTTTTTCAGATGTGGTTAACTACTATATTTGCTGGATTTTTTTTTTCCCATTACAAACTTTTTAAATACACACCGCAGAACATAAAAGTTATGCTTTAATATTCTTTAGTTATTTACGTTGTATTTTCTTACCCTGCTTAGAAGAAAAACAGAAAAGCAGCTTTTTGTTTATAAGAATTTGGACACTGGGTAATGGCTCACCCCAACCTAATGCAGTAACACTGGCCTTACGCCATTGCTGAGGCTGGGACTAGCTCCCCTGTCCAGCCAACGGTGGCTTCACGAAGCGACCACATCCAGGGGGTTGTGAAAAGATAGCACAACACAGCTCACATCTAGATAAAGCACCCACTGCTTTTTAACTTCCAGATAGACCATGAATCATCACAAACCTTCTGAAAAATTCTTAATCATTACTGGAGAAACAGAAATTTCATAAATCCTGTCCAAAGCTAGGCAAGGCAAACAGGATTGTCGCTGTTAAAGTTTTATTCCTGCTCTTTTTTTTTTAAACATCATAGAATGTTTAGAAATATAATTTCTTCTATGTAATGAAACTAATACACTGAACTTTAAAGGTACAGTAAAGGACAGTGAAAGTTATGAATGTAAACACCAAAATAATAGCATGCAGCAGAGGCTGAAGAAAAATAAGTCAACTTCCTTCTAAAAGCTTGGCACCTTTCCAACCCATTTAGAGCAGTATATCTGAGTAGTCGGGTGGGAAGGGGACCAGGACTGGGGCAGCAAATAGAACACTAAAACTAAAACCTCTTATCTCAAGGCATAGGTTCCATTTAATGAATAGTTCACAGACTCTTTTATTTTCATCTATCTTAGTCTGTGGGTATAAGTTCCCAATAATTTTAATTTTACCAAGGTTAGTATTCATGCTCTGTTTTAAGACAGTTGAAGCCTTATGTCATTTGTGCAATAAGGAGGTGAGGGTAAGAACCATCTTAAATTGTTTTTCATCTTTTATTGTCAAAACTTCCTATGTTGATTAGGTCTGCTTAGCCTCCTGAAACCCCACAATACATTCTACTCACGTGGTTCTTTCCATTATTACTAATTCTTCCTGCTTTATGTTCTGATCAGGCAGAAGATTCACACTGCGCTCAGACTTCTGGACTTAATGTAAAAAATTAGCACAATGCATGGAGTCATTTCTGTGTATATTCTAATACTTTTCTTCAAGTACAGTTTCTGAGGACAAATGAAAATACTACTAATTTTTAGGTCAATTTTCTTATTAAAAAGGAAGTAAGGATTTAAAATCAAACACTGGCATACAGTTTCTGAAAATTCTTAATTACATTTAGCTTGATTTAAAGTTATTCATTTGTATTTAATATACAAAACTAAATGAAACCTGAACTTCCAAATAGCAAGTACATGAAATAAAATTCTCTTAATTAGATGACGTATCTAAAAGCAAAAACAAACAAACAAAATCAACCTAAGTTCAGTAATTTTTTGCTTTTAAAAAAATGGGCTGTGGTTCAAGAAAAAGGCTGCAGGGGAACTTAAATATAATTTGGGATCAAATACTTAAGTCAATAGGGAAAGTTAGGCAGAGGCATTTCATTTTCAAATGAGTATTTTGCATTTATATAGCACCTTACATAGAGTGCTTTACAATCATTATTACTGGACAGCCATTGTCAATATAAAACATGGTTTACAATCTGTCAACAAATCTAAGCACTTTGAGGCAACCAAATACCCAAGAGAATCTATTCAGTAGCAAATTCTTGGACTACTACATAGAATTAAGAAAAATGTAAGAGAGACCTGTCATAACATCACATACAAGAAGTCACTTATTGATCTTAATGACTGATATGAAGATGTTAGGTATCAGGAATTATTGAGAAATAGAAGAGTTTATATTAAGGAAAAAGTAAAACAAATGAGGTGTAAGTCAACAAGGAAATTGCCCAAAAGGTAAGGCTACCTATTACTTGTAAGTATATGAAAAATAAATCTTTTAGATGTGGAGGACAACTGAAATTATAAATGTCTGCCACATTGCCAGGATTTGATTCTCAGTTACTATAATATTCCAAAACAAGAAAAAACTAATGCACTGCCAGATTTTTTTCTTTTGTAATTTCTCCCCAAATAACCTAATCAATGCATTCACTTCTGCCAGCAGACAAGATAGCAGGAAATAATGAAATTCTATGTATTTATGTTTTAAAAATAGTTTCCAAATCTTCGGACAAATTTAATCTCCTATAAAACAATGTGAAAACTCATTTTTTTCTCTAAATAATTCTGTCAGGTGCTTTAGGTAAGATCTGATTAGCACCTCTGCCAATATATTTGTCTTTGCAAAAAGTGCACTTGCTAACCATTTTATACACTAAATATGCAAGTTACTTGAAGTGCATTTGGAAAACAATTGAAAACAGATTAATACATCATAAAAAGATTAATTCCCTTTAAACAGACATTCTTATAAAGCATGATAACACAGAGGCACAATAAAGAATATAAATTGTATATCAATTATTGGCAGAAAATCTAATTCATTACAAAGCCTACATCATTGGAGAAAGGACATTTTCATACAAAGAAAAGTACTACACTATTAAACAACACTTTTAATTGGGCATTTAAAAATTTTTGGCACATTAAAAGGAACTGAAAGGACTACAAAATAAAGGACCAAGAAATAATACATTATAGATACAAGAGAAAGTCTTCAAATGAGAAACAACTAAATATTAACATAAAATAGAGACAAATAATAAGCTGGCTGAATTTCCTGAAATGTTGTTATATGTAACAGAAGTATGCTTTGAATGCAGGGTGTTTTTTATTCTAACGGCAAGTCTTGTCTACCTTGCTGTGGCTGGTTGAACATGGCCCGGGTAAGATCTTCTTGTGCTGGTTGCTTGTCTTTGCCTAGCCAGAAACGACTGCCCTGAACCTGTACTAGCAAGTCTGTCTTCAGCTGCCTTTTTATGCAGAGTCATTCCCTATAACATAGAAAAAAAAGTCATCAACGAAAAAATAGCAGAACATACTCTCACAAAAGAAAATTTCATCATGCAGAATTTGTTACATAGCATCATAAGGCACAATTAGGAATGTTAATTCTGCTCATTACAGATTAAAATCTTATAGAGACATTTTAGTTCCAACAATTAGGTACAAATCTTCCTTTGGAAAAATTAAGGCTTAATTTTCTGAAGTTACAATAACCAAAACAACAGATAATGAAGACAGATTTTTGGAATACATTACCCATACTCAATCATATATACTTCCCTTTCCAATCAAATGTATAAAGTGATTTCCCAAGAAAAAAAGTGAAATTGATTGGTAGCAATTGATTCACATGGGGTTGTGGAATTCACAGGGCTTATTTAGAATGGAAAAACACAACACACTTGTTTCTTGAGGTGGAAAGACACACTATGTATAATACATACCACCATGCTGTTTTTCTTCACTTCAGGCAGACTTGTATTCTCAAACAAATTAAGAAAAGTTCCTGACAGCCCACAGCAGAGGGCCCAACTGAGAGCAAGGGGTCTTTCTTGAAGACAGGAGAAGGATGGCCTACTAGCTTAGAAGGGAGAGGAGCCACAATTGTTGGGCCCAGAGTACCTTTACAGGACGGAGGAAACCTCTGGGGATGCGTTCTCTAAACGTGCAGGAATAACAACAATGCAAGGCTATGAACAGATCAGGAGAAAAGTGGTTTTGGTACTTATTAATAAGCCAGAAAAACATTAAGAGCTGAGAGCTACCATTTAATCTCCCCAATGATGGCATACACGTAAACTGATGGCAGCAAGTGGAAGCTGGTCACGGCTTTGCATTTTTAACAGAATTTCAGTCTATCATGTGTATCCAAATACACAACATTCCTCCATTTTCCCAGTGAGAAAATCCAGCACATGTTTTCTACTCAATTTAAAATCAAAGCATTTAAGGATTTAATAAAATTAACAAACCTCTATTGGCAATCTTTAACTTACTAATTTGGCTACTTATATTAACGATTATATTTTATTTAAAACATACTAATTTTTTGACTTTTACATTCCAAGCAACTCATTCAAATTCTTCACACACTTTTAAGACCTCATGTCTATCACAAGGCCATTCTCTGAGATACTTAGTACCTTTTCCCAGTACTCGACACCTTCCTTTCCATTTTAGTTGTCTGAGACGCAAAACTTTCTAAATGTATGGAATGAAGCTGTTTCTGGCTATCTAATCTGAAAATAACTTGTGTGAGTCTACTTGGAGTTACTCCTTCACTCTGTGGAGAGCTGAAAATTAGGACTATTCTTTAATACCATATCACAGGATAAATAAATGTGGTTCCATAAGAAACACAATATGTGAAGTTATAAAAATCAATCAGGAATATGAAATTACTGGGCTGGCCCGCTGGTGTAGTGGTTGACTTTGTGTGCTCTGCTTTGGCAGCCCAGGTTTGTGGGTTTGGATCCCACGTGCACACCTACACACTGCTTGTCAAGCCATGTGGTGGTAGCATCCCACATACAAAGTAGAGGAAGACTGGCATGGATGTTAGCTCAGGGCCAATCTTCCTCACCAAAAAAATTAAAAAATGAAATTACTAATAAGGATTGAGGGGCAGAGCTCCAAGATCACTAACGCTAACTTTTAAAGAGGACAAAGAGGGGCCGGCCTGGTGGCTTAGTGGTTGGGTGCGCGCGCTCCGCTACTGGCAGCCCGGGGTTGGGATCCCGGGCGCGCACCGAGGCACCGCTGCTCCGGCCATGCTGAGGCGGCGTCCCACATACAGC